AATTTGAGTTATCTACCAAATTGCTTAAAGATCAAAAATAAAAGGGATTATAGCCCCCCACAATACTTTGGGGTTTCTATGCCCAATGTCACAGAGTGCATTGTTTAGAAGGGCTGTGAACCATGTCATCACATTTTGCTTTGAGCTAAAGTACCGGGTATTTTTGTTATCCTAATGACATTAATATTAGCATTGTTTAGCTAATATAAACACTGTTTTCACTAAATTCAAAAATATGAACTTTAGAATATAAAAAAATATAATGACACTCAAAGTGCTATAAATAACAGTAGGTCTACCAGTGATGGCTAACTAGATTTTAATATCTTGTATTATAGCCCAGTAATAGATTGCTAATTTACTTTCTCTTTTAAATAAACAAGACATATTGTAGTATTTAACACGACAATGTTTTCATTAAAATATGCTGTAAACAAGATGCAGAGATGTTCAAGTACCCTTGAGGAATCAATAATTCCACATAAACTAGCATCAGAAAAAGAAAAGAGGTGCAAAGGCACTATAAATATTGGCTTCGGAACCTGCAGGGGGCATCTAAAATGGTACAATCAACGTTCCTTTCAGACTTCTATAGCAGACTTTGCAGAGGAAATGGCATACTGTTGTATCTTGGAGGCTTACGGTTTTAATTGTACCTCAAAAACTCATGAAAAAATAGCTGAATGAATAATAAAATTAATATCTTCACTATAAAGTGTAAATAATATTAGCAATATTTAAAACTCAACATACGTAACTAGAAATTGTGTATATACATTATTAAACAGGGAGAACAGAATGTCAATTTACACATATTATTCATTTTTTCATTAATCCATTCAGCCTTTGCAAAAATAGTGTGTGGCTAACAATGGCATTCCCATTGTCCATTAACTACTTTTTACTTGTTGCTCAGGCACCCTCACATTGAGTAGAACCCTCTTTGCCCCCAGAACAGCCTAAATTCCTCTGGCATGGATTCACTTAAAAATGTTCCTTAGAGAGTGTGGTCTATATTAACATGATAGCATCATGCAGTTGCTGCAAAATGTTTTTAACGTAACACAAAAAAATCACTATAAAGTAAAACAATACTTAGCTTCAATAAGATGCAGCTTTCTCAGTGGTATTCCCCAGTTTACCACCTCTCTTATAACCCAAGGCACAGTTTATTTGGATACATTGTGAGTGCATTCTTGTTGTATCATACTTCACTATATTTGGTTTATTTTTTTTCCTTTTAGATGTTTAGCTGATACCCAAATATTGTTTTTGCATTGTGCTGCAAAATGTTTAGCTGCACATTCCTACTACACATTACCATATCCCAAATATGCTTTTTTAGGTTAATATCTGGGGACTAAGTAGGGCAATAAGTATGTAGCCTCTAAGCTATAAGCAGAAGAGCACTTTACGGCCTCTTTATCATATATTTTTGTATCACTTTTGTTTGAGTTTGCTTTCATGATTTTATATGTTTGTGTATTTTTGAGGTTTATGCGACTAGTATGAGGTGACTTCTGGAAAAAAAACTAATAGAAGATGGGTAAAGTGTTGCATAAAAGGATACATGTGGTGAGTTTATAGAATATTTAAAATCTTTATTTACCTTGATTCCAGGGCAGGCATCAGGGGTGTGCAAGCAATGCAGCCAAAAATGGTGCCATGGAAGCAGGGGCACTATGCGGCCAACATAGCTCGCATATACAGTAGTTAAAAGGTGTGAGAGGTGCTAAGAGTACCCTTATAAAGCAGATCTAGATATGTGTAGCATGGCCGTGCTGTGTATAACTGTCTGCCTGTAACTATGTGTGTGTCTGTCTACCTGTAACTATATGCGTGTGGCTACTTGCCTATACGTGTGTGTGACTGCCTGTAACTGTGTTTGTGTGTGTGTGTGTGTGTGACTGTCCATAACTTTGTGTGTGTGACTGACTGCCTGTAACTGTGTGTGTGTGTGTGTGTGTGTGTGTGGGGGGGGCTACCTGTACCTGTGAGTGACTGCCTGTAACTGTGTATTTGACTATATAACTATAACTGTGTGTGTGACTATGTGCCTGGGACTTTGTGCATGTTGCTGCATTTCAAAGTGTACGTGTATAACTATGTGAATGTGGCTGTATTTCAAAGTATATGTGTATAGTTGTGTGCATCTGACTGTGAGACTGTGTGCATGTGACTCTGCAAAAATACACACCTGCATTCACAAATGGGCATATTGTTATCTAAATTAAATATTAAAACATCTCACACAGCCAATACACATATCATACAAAGTCAATTTACCCATTACACATATCACACATGACCATCATGCCTATATAACACAAAGACAGCACACAAATTACATCATATTCGTATGAGAGGACCTCTGTCATACAAAAAGCACATTACTCTTTTTTTAAAGCTGGGGAGCTCTGTGATACACTAATAAGCACATTACTGGGAATTGTATTGTTGTGATGGCCAAGCACATAGTACTATCATGACTTTTGTTTGTTGTGGAGCTCAGTGTTACTGTTTTTATTCCAAGGAAAATCCAGAGCTCCAAAGCAAAATGACAGAGGCACATAATACTTAGCTTGCCCCTCTTTAATGCTGGGGAGGCAGCCTGGCACCTCTGACCTGCACCTGCTGGCTGCAGGCCATGACTACCTGTCTTTTGAGCTATAGCCAATCAGATCATTGCCGCAGATAACTGTACGTGTGTGAGCTCAAGACTCAATTACTCAAATAGATAGATTATTTTTCTTTAAAAAAAACTGCACATTTATTTCCCCTTACCCTAGCTTTGATCAGAGATGTTGGGGTTTCCAGAACACCCAAGAAAAGGGTTCTGAAAGATACATTGGATGCACAGGGATATATAGAGCTCTAATTATATCTAATATCTATAGAAATGTAACAATAGTAGTGTTCTGTGGGGCTGGGCATTTACAGTACTTTGAGAATGATTATGGATGCAGGCTGAAAGATTGAAAGATAAACCAATGAAATGAAAGTACAAGGTAGTGCCAAATATTATTACAGCCTGCTTGTGTAAGATGTCATATTTCCTGCAGCTTGACACCGCTAGTAATAGAATTGTCTCTCAGATGCCTGGAGAGAGCAGTTTAGAACAATCACAAGCGCTTCCTTATTGTCAACATTTCAAATGAGGAAGCGTTTAAACTCTTCAATTAACGTTTAAAAGTTTTATCACAAGAAAAACCTGCTGATTTAGGTGAAAAACCTAGGATACACAAGGAGAAAGGTTTGAGATTATTCTTTCAACCTTCTCTCATTTCTCTTCAAGCCTGTCTGTTTTCCATTTTCAGCATGCTAGGTGAATTAAATGGCAATCATTGACATTTTTGTAAGAAATATTACATTCGTGGAATCACTGCATAAACAAGACAGAAATTAGTGTACCGTGACACTCAATAAATCAGAACATGTTTTGCTATTAAAGAGGAATTATATCTAAAATAGATTTCTTCGGTATATTAAAAAAAAAAAAATCTCTAAAATAAGATAGACTTAAACAATTTTTTTAAAACATTTTAAACTGTGCTACTTTTTTCACAAGTAAACCATATTCCTACAATTACTTAAAATTATACTATCTTTATAACTACCTCATGCTCCAGCAGTCCTAGGGGAATAGCTGTTATCATGAAGAGCAAAGCATGAGGGAAATCTGAGCCCCTTAGGGCATAAACAGCAATCCCCTTTGCTGTATAGAAAAAGATAACCCTAGCTAATGACACGGTTTATATTCTTCAAGAAAACATTGACAAGTTATCACAAGATGGGGTTTAGGCAAGAAAATGTTGAATACATAAAAATAAACTAATAGTTCTTTTAATATATTCCTTCAAAACTAAGCTGGTGTCTTTGAGATAAAATAATTGCCACTGATCTCATTGAGTTTTCATGTCAAACTTATATGGATTTTTGGAGAGCAACATCCACCATTAGGCTCATAGGCAGGTGGTCTTTATCAGGCACACTCCAGCCAATATTTGCCCCTTCTGCCCTAAAAGATATATACTTTACAAAAAAAAATCTGCAAGTCTACAACACTGTTATGTATTTTTTTTTTTCCATAAATCTGATTTTACACAGAAATAAATTACAGGTATCTCATACCGCCTTAAAACAACAATAAATATCTAACATACAATCTAGACAATTACTTCTAAGCATACACCATTCATACACATACAAAGTGGGATAAGGACACAGCATACATAGGAAACAAACACTTATCTAAATGTAAAAGAAGAGTGCACAGACTCTCTTTTCTTAAAAATTGCTCTTATGTGACATTTCCTATCTTAAAGCGGCACAGGCAGCCATTTTACCTGCCACTGCAAGGAGGAGTACACAGATTGCACCCTGGATGGCCCGTAGAGGGAATGGGGGAAGGCTTAACCCATTGATCTCCCTCACCAGCCAGCAGGGCCCAGTGCTGGAGGACAATTTCAGTTCTGCACATTCGATGGTATCCAACCCTGAGTAGCTCTCTCATGAGCTTTGACATTCAGAGCATTACCACATGTTACCACAGCAATACTTTGGAGTTCTTGAGAGAAAGGCTTCCTTTGGCGTTTCAGACCTTCAGGCATCAGCATACCTCCCTTCCCTGGCCAAGGTATGCAAGTTATAGAGGAGAATTAACCTTAAAGTGAACATGTCAAGTCAGTTATAGGTTTGCAGTTTTTTAACAATCAAGCTTGACTCATCTTATACAATCACGTTTTTCTACCCTTAAGACCATTAAAATCTTATATTTTATGGGGGCAGAGCCAAGCTACTGACCTAAATGGCCGCATGCATTGGGAGCTCCGTACTAATCACCCACGTTGGACCATCTAACGCGGCCAAAACTCCTTGCAAACGGTTCCAAACTGTATTACTAGCTACAATTAAAGAGATGGGCTGAAAAACCAAACAGGTCAAACCTGATAAACCTTGGTTTATCTCGGTTTAAACCTCGGTTTAACTATCGGAGACCTATGGCGGCAGGCCGCAACAACATGGGCACAAACATGGCTGACTATGCCGACGACTGCTCTGAAATATTAGATGACTTCACAAGTGGGGCTGAAATACACCACTCACCCATCTTGACTGCTCCTCTCCAGCCTCATCCACAAGCAGACACCTCTCCGGTGACCACAACGGTGCGCTTCCTGAGCCACGGAGACAGATCTGCAGTCCTTCAAGAGACGGAAATCCAAACACCAAATGTATTTGAGAGTATGCAGCTCTCATTCTACACTGATGCCACACACTGAAGCCCTTCATGGTTCTCCTTCACCTGCAAAAAATTACATACCAATGGAGGCGACCCCGGGTGCTTTTAAGTCAGCACGGTAACACATCATTCAAGATCCATGATATGCAGGGTGCCAAGGATGTCATGCCAACCCTGGGGCTACAACGGGACTCTGTCAACTGCGGAGCAAAACCACCCAGTGGCACAGCCACCAACAAGTGACCCCACGAAGGGGATGCCGTTTGTCCCCCGACAAGCTGGAGCGGGAGCCTCCGCAGCGGTTATGACCTGAAGAATCCAAGGACTACTGCTTACCTCTTAACAGCCCTTTTTTACATGGGCATGCCATTTATGGTGATCGGGACTCAATCTCAATCTCCTATGCTTGATAGCAAAGTGGCAGACACAGTTATGGCAAGCGCTGAAAAAGGAATCAATTCCTGTCTGCCCACTTACAGCCTCTTACACTACAGAAGAAATGCAAAGGTGAGTACTTTGCAAATAACCCTTCAAACTCTACATGCCAATACACCCTTTCCCCTAACCCATTTCCCTAATTGCATGAAACTAAATAAACCTTTCCTTATTAATGTAAGCACTCAAAGCCTAAAAAAACCTTTTAACCTTAATTCTAGGTTTAACTCTTCTTAAAAACTGAACACCTCATGTTCCCCCATATTATATCTAACACCACTCTAACCTAAACTCAATAATCCTAAACAATGATTATGCTACAATTCTTATCCCTCTCAAGCATTTTATTCTCGTTACATCCTATTTAATCTTTTTATGAAATTAACCCAGCTGGTGTCCCCAATGGTTTCATCATTTGATACTCACTTTAGAAGTTTGTATCTCCTGCTCAGAAAATTGAACTGGGGGCTCCTGCAAGGTCTAGCAAACTATTAACAGAGCAGGAGACAAGAAATTCTATACTTAAAGGACCACTATAGTGCCAGGAAAACATACTTGTTTTCCTGGCACTATAGTGCCCTGAGGGTGCTCCCACCCTCAGGGTCCCCCTCCCGCCCGGCTCTGGAAAGGGGAAAAGGGGTAAAAACTTACCTTTTTCCAGTGCTGGGCGGCGAGCTCTCCTCCTCCGATCTGCCCCATCGGCTGAATGCGCACGCGTGGCAAGAGCTGCGCACGCATTCAGCCGGTCACATAGGAAAGCATTTTTCAATGCTTTCCTATGGACGCTGGTGTGCTCTCACTGTGAAAATCACAGTGAGAAGCAGGCAAGCGCCTCTAGTGGCTGTCAATGAGACAGCCACTAGAGGGAATGGGGGAAGGCTTAACCCATTGATAAACATAGCAGTTTCTCTGAAACTGCTATGTTTATGAAAAAATGAGTTAACCCTAGCTGGACCTGGCACCCAGACCACTTCATTAAGCTGAAATATAAACATTAGATCTCACTTCACAGGAAGTGTTTAGTAAGCCTGTATAGGTTACATTACTTGTAGGGAGGTGTGCCTAGAGCTGTATAAACAAAGCGATTTAACTCCTAAATGGAAGAGAATTAAGCAGTGAGACTAGGGGTGACTATAGTGTCCAATTAAAAGTCCCTTTACTCTAACCGCTTCAAACATTATCTTTGACTCTGCATGCATTTACATAGCTATCTTGCAGATTCAAATACTTTTATTACTAGCAGGAAAATGCACATACATATAGACATATACAATTCTCAAATATTTCATTTTTGTTTTCTTTTTTTTAGGTGTTTATGCCTGCAATGTCCAGTTAATGCCTTTATTTTAAGGGAATAATGTGCCTCCATGCCTCTCACATTTAAACCTAGCCCTGCATGTAGACCTTTAGTCTAGCAGCAACATTTATTTTCTCTGACCCAATATCAATCCTGAGAAGGGTACTGCATTATGTTGTAAACTATGTACTGGTCTGTAGCAAGATATAATGTCTCTTTTTATATTTTTACTGTACTTTAATTCTTAAATGGTTGCTTTCTCCCTATTGTCAATCTGCACTAACTGATATATTATGTGCAAAAAAAATATATTTTTAAAAAAATCTATTACTCAATATAGATCCCGCAGGGTTTATATTGTAGTTTCTAGATAAACTCCCCTGCAGCTACTAATTAGTACTCTGTGGACCTGGCAGAAATGAGCAATTGCTGAGTTTTGCTTAAGTAAGCTGCACACAGGGGCTGTTGTGGTTCAGCCTGTACAGGTCCCTGGGTATGACCAATATCAGAACGTTGCAGCACAATTCAGCAACCTCTGATTCCTACTGGGATTGTCAATGAATGCAGTCAGAATTTATCTATATAGTGCAGGTCACTCTGGACAACTGTACCAGAACAAAAAATATATCAATGCACTGCATCTGGAATTTTATCTCTGCATTCTATGATGTGCATGTTTAATACATATTTCAGAAACTCGCAAACACACATTCACCAGTACATTATGTGGATCATATACTACAAAAATGTGAATAGTGATCAATATCCCAATGAGTGAAACCAAAATGTCAATAATACTCACAACACCTTATATGTGTATTCCCTTTATCCCCACAAAAATACAAAGATATACATAAAATATAAGGTGGAGTATATAAATAGAGATCCTTCCAACTGTATTGTTAAACCGGATAATGATCTTAAACCCTTCCCTAAAAATAAGCACAAATAGGGAAAAAGAATAGTGCAGTATTGCCAATGTCCAGTTTATAATAATAATAAATAGGTAATGGTACACTCACAAACATAGAGCCACTGGATAGGCTCAATGATTGAAGCTCTGTGGGTGCTTTAGGGACCCACTTCCTTCTTTATATGATGTAAGAGATTCCAATGGCAGGAACTTACTCTCAGATGTAAATCAATAAAGTGCTTTATTTAATAAAGTGCACACAAAAAAATCCATAAAATAAGTAATAAAATTTGAATAAAAAACCTTACAGTCTGAAGGTAGTCCTTATATTTTTATCAGAATTATTTATATTTTTCTAGATTTTCTCCCATACTTTCTTCTTTTTACAAGTTTATTAACTAGTATTAATATTGTATATTGATGTGTTCTTATGGAATATTCTTTTGTAAAATTAACTTTTTTGATATTCCGATATGTGGGCAAAGAGAGGAAGATATATTCTCATATTTATTTCTTTTTATTCTTGGCTTCATATGTCCTCTATGGATTTTGAGGAAGAGATTAATGTCAGAAACTTTATTTCTAACTGTTATATGTAGGTGCTGATTGAGATTAGAGGCTGCATATGTAAATCAATTAAGCTGATTATCCCTCGATCGAGGTGATGTATTTTATCTTGCATATAAGTCACGTGCCTTTTTGCGTTCCTCCAGTGGAACGTAAATGCCGAATACCGGAAGAGGAAATGAAGGCAATGAAAATGATGCCGTAGAACGCATACAGTGATGTATGTGTTCCACAAGTGGAACGCAAACCGGAAGAGGAAGTAAAAAGACATTCCGAACCACGAGGATGCAGAGAAAACCACCATAAGGGAAGGCATTTAAACGGACTACTGAGAAACTACAACCAGCAACTGAGGAAGCCTCATTTTGAGGGGAAACGCGTTTTGCACAGTACTATAAGGACTACCTTCAGACTGTAAGGTTTTTTATTCAAATTTTATTACTTATTTTATGGATTTTTTTGTGTGCACTTTATTAAATAAAGCACTTTATTGATTTACATCTGAGAGTAAGTTCCTGCCATTGGAATCTCTTACATCATATAAAGAAGGAAGTGGGTTCCTAAAGCACCCACAGAGCTTCAATCATTGAGCCTATCCAGTGACTCTATGTTTGTGAGTGTACCATTACCTATTTATTATTATTATAAACTGGACATTGACAATACTGCACTATTCTTTTTCCCTATTTGTGCTTATTTTTAGGGAAGGGTTTAAGATCATTATCCGGTTTAACAATACAGTTGGAAGGATCTCTATTTATATACTCCACCTTATATTTTATGTATATACTACAAAAAGCCTATAAAATACATGTAAGAAGCAGTAATATAATGAGTGTGTATTTGGGTAAACTCCCCTTGTGCTATGAAATGAGAAAATTACAAATACCAATTCATACGATACAAATGACATAAATCATTTTAATATATCACTGCTCTTCTTAATCTGAAACAGCCGAATGATGCAAACGATCTGCAAATTATGTCAAATGAACTTTTATTTATATATTTCTGGTCTAGTCATTAGTTGTAAGACTCTGATAGAGATAAAGACTACAAATGAAGCTAATGTAGTGGAGGTAGGTATCTGTTATGCCACCAGAGGCCACTCACTATAATGACTAGTGAGTGGCCTCTAATGATTGCACAAGCCATTGTCAAAATTTGTGAGAAGATGTTAGAAGATGTCCATGTTTTAAGTGGTATTCATAACCTTCTGGTAGATATATCATTCAGTCTAGGTATTTGCTAATTTTAGGTATAGCACAATGTATAGATTATATTTTATATATTCCTGAATTCTTCATCCACATTTGTGTTTGTGACATATCTACTTTAATGAGATAAAATTGTTATAGTGCCAGCTTACAGTGATCTTTTAAGATTAGCAATACGTTCAGTGGTAGCAATTTTTTATTATTTATTTTTACTGTTACATATTGTTCTGTCTTAGTACTATTGACCACTTACCATATATATATAACATGCTTTAAGGCTTTTAAATGCAGTAGCAAATTTAAAAAAAATCTGTGATTTGCTTTACAACAATATATGCTTTACATGGACCCTATGTTTGTAGCCAACAATATTTAGGAAAGGTGCAGATACATTATAAGTGTTAAAAAAATTTATGTGTACAAAAATACAATATAGCAGCTCCTGCTTTGGGTACCCCCACAGAACAGACAAGCATACACAAATAAATAAAGGGAGTCTCTCCAAGCAGACAGTGCATGGACATAAAGGATGGTGTAGATGTGCCATCTGATTGGACAATTTAGAAAAACATG